CAAATTCTTTTTAAGTATCTTTGTTTTCTGGTAACAAGGGATCCCTGGCCCATCTTATACCTGCTTTGTCCCAGACATGCAATTGGCTAGTTTTCTAAGCCCCAGTTCCTTTCCATGGAAATCGATATTAGAGACCAAACAGTAAATTCTGTTTTTTAATTTTTTTATGTTTTATTTATTTCTGAGAGAGACAGGGTGAGCAGGGGAGGGTCAGAGAAAGAGGGAGACACAGAATCTGAAACAGGCTCCAGGCTCTGAGCTGTCAGCGCAGAGCCTGACTCAGGGCTCGAACCCATGAACCGTGAGATCGTGACCTGAGCCAAAGTCGAGCGCTTAACCGCCTGAGCCGCCCAGGCACCCCGAGACAGCAAATTCTTAATCGTATATTCAAACTATAATTAGGCCTCAATTTTTTAAATCCTAGATGACTCATGTAATTGTCACTCTGAAGCTCTTGATTTATAACAAACCTAACAGAATGACTGACTTATTTTACTTGCCAATAAAAGAACTAGATCCAAAATGGTGATGCCAGAATTAATACTTATTATAAAACTGCTACATGAAATTCCGATTTGTTTTTGTATTTGCCTTTGTCCTTAAGGCACATCATAAGACACGGAGTGAAATTACTTTGCTTGATTGCTCTGAAATAAACCCTCACTGTGTGGGTTATGGAAGTTCTGTCCAAATGTTTCCAGTTTGTTTTCAGTTTGAAGGGGTCAGAGTTTGACAGTTATGAGCTCCTATATTTTAGCTTCTGCTTTCCACTGGCAAAAGAGTTAGTTTTATTGGTTCACGTCATGAAGATAAATAGAAATACCTCAACAGTTCAATCTTCAAAGTACTAAATGAGAATTTCATTTAAATCACTGTCTGGATCACCAACAGTGCCTCGTTGCACTGTTACATGTGCATTGGATGTGCATTCTGAACAGGGCTGGGCAGACCTGGTCACACTTCCGCTACTCAGTCTCTCTTAATGTATTCAGAAGCTGCAGCTCCTTGTCTCCAATTAGACTTATATTGTACTAAATCCTCTCCTAATATGAGAACGTTTCGGTTATCTGCTTTCTCCCCCGCTCCCTGCCCCAGCCAGCTTTTCTGCTCCCAGTCATATGTGAGAACATTCCCTTCTGCTCAATATATCATGTGTTCTAAGTATTGTCATATCAAACCGCAGGTCTAAATAATGCTTTATTTAGTTTTACGATATATATAAGCCAAGACAGTTTTCTATATTACTGTTTTCTCGATACAGTACCATTTATTAATCTACCTCCAAGAAAAACACACACACACACACACACACACACGTAACAGAATATACATATGTATTAGATAGGTATACTATTGGGAGAATATATACCAATTCAGGTTTTGTCAGAAATATTCTTTTCACTCATAAGGTCATAACGCTGACATTTTTCTACACATACATGTTTCTTTTTTTCCTTTTAATTTTAATTCCAGTTAACAGCACACACACACTTTTTTTTAAAATTTTTTTAATGTTTTATTTATTTCTAGGAGAGAGAGAGAGAGAGAGACAGCGTGAGCAGGGGAGGGTCAGAGAGAGAGAGGGAGACACAGCATCTGAAACAGGCTCCAGGCTCCGAGCTGGCAGCACAGAGCCCGACGCGGGGCTCGAACCCACGAACTGCGAGATCATGACCTAAGTGAAAGTCGGACGCTTAACCGACTAAGCCACCCAGGCGCCCACACACACACTTTTCTATTGTCAGCATTATTAAGGGCAAATAGCTCAGTAGTGTTCCAAATCTTCAGTGGCTTTTGGATAAAAAGCACCAAATGAGATCTAATCCCATGACAGTGTTGAAGAGTTAGTTCCGATGTTGTGTATGTCACTTTAAAGCTTTATCCGCAGGTGGCTTGTGACTCATT